GAATTGAAAATGAATCTTGATGTGAATGGAAGGGGAGAAGAGTGGGAAAGGGGAGGGTTGCGGGTGGGAGGGACGTTATGGGAGGGAAGCCATTGTAATCCATAAGCTGTACTTTGGAAATTTATATTCATTAAATAAAAGTTTGAAAGAAAAAAAGAAAAAGTAAAATATTAAAAACGTAATAAATCAAATAGAAGGAAAATGTCTCATATTGAGGACAAACTTCTAAAATTACTCATTTAAAAATAAAGAGAAAGGAATAAAAAATAATGAAGAAAGACCATGAAATATATGGGATATGAGTAAATGGACAAATATTTGCTGTGTGGGGACACCTGAAGAAGAGATTGACAAATACATTAAGAATATATCAAATGAAATAATAAAGTGAAAACTTGCCAAGTCTTGAAAGAGATATGGTATCCAGCTATGGGAAGCTCTGAGGACAGCAATCAGATTCATCCCAACAAACCCTTCCACAAGGTATCAAATAGTCAAATTGTCAAAAATTAAGGACAAGGAGAAAATACCAAAGAAGGTAAGAGAAAATTGTCAAATTAAGTATGAGGGAAAGTCCATTAGATTAATGATGGACTCCTTAGTACGAATCCTACAGGCAAGAGGAGAACAAAGCAATATATCCAAGGTCTTGGAAAAAAAACTTCCAACCAAAAATACTACATCCAGAAAATGTCTCCTTTAGAATTGAAGAAGAAATAGTCTTTCCTGGACAATCAAAAATGGAGAGAATTCATCACCACCAGACCAGTTTTACATTGAGTCCTGTGGGTAGTCATACATTAGGACTAATCATGAAAGAACACTACAGTATAAAATGCACTAACAGAGCAGATATGTGAAAGAAAAAGGTGAGAGATTTGTGGCAGCCCATGCCACTGGTGATATCATGTGAGGAAGAAGCTTGGGGATCACACTGACTTAAAGTCTGGCCTGGAGCCCTAGAAGAGTAATCCAGCAAAGGAAATACACCTAATCCCACTAAAGAAAAGCACATTTCTTTCTCCCCATCCTCCACAAGGGCATCCGACAACCAACAGTGTAGAGAATGCACCATTTGACACCAGTAGAAGTTGTGGTGGCTCTTGTGTATGCAACCAGGTTGTTCTGCCAGAGAGAAAAATCTGTATTTCCCATGGGCTTTGAGTCTAGCTGGGAGGGGGCTGGGCATATTCTTAGGATTGTGGGGTGCTCTCATCCTCTTAACCTATTATAGGATCTGGGGCTCAAACTGCCAAGTCGGAGCAACCACAGGCAGCTGGCTCTGGGAAATTCTCTGCTTTCTCCATGAACAGGACAGGCTTGATGAGATGAAAGATCTGGGTGCCTTGTGCTCTATGACTGTGGGAATTCTGTGACTGCATGATAGAGTTGAGCGTAGTGGAGTGTAGAGTGGATCTCTGGGAAATCCCTGTGTCTGGTGTCAGAGGCTCAGAACTCCCTGACTGTCTGGGGTGGTTCATTGCAAAAGGTTCTGTGCTCACACTGAGGACTGCACAGATCCTTTGTGCAGGTCATGTGACAACATAGGTGAGGGTTGTATCCACTGTGGGCTAATTCCTGTCCCTGCCCTGGACATTGCACCTATTGGGAAGTGAACCAGCATATAGAAGATCTCTCTTTCTGTCTTTTCTCCCATCCCCACCGCCCTCTGTCTGTGTAACTCTGCCTTTCAAAAAAAAAAAGATTATTTCTTGAGTCTAGCATTGTGGTGTAGCAGCTTAAAATGTCACCTTCAGTGCAGCATTGTATATCACCAATTTGTGTCCTGGCTTCACTTTCAATCCAACTCCCAATTGATAGCCTTGGAAAAGCATCAGAAGATGGCCCAAGTGGTTGGGCTCTTGCACCCATGTGGGAGACCCAGAAGAGCCTCTGGCTTTGGCCTGTCCCAGCCCTGATTATTGTAGACATTTGGGGAGTTAACCAGCAGATGGAAGATCTTTTTCTGTCTTTTAATCTCTCTCTGTAACTCTAACTTTCACACAAATAAACACATTTTTAAAAGAAAAACTCCAGATCTATTTAAAAATAAGAGTTCTTTTAGAAAATTATAAATTCTTAATTATTTTTTGGTAAGATTTTTTTTGAGTCAGGGTTATAGACAGAGAGAGGGAGAGACAGAGAGAGAGGTCTTCCATCTACTGGTTCATTCTCCAAATGGCTACAATGGCTGGAGCTGAGCTAATTTGAAGCCAGGAGCTAGAGACTTGAACTGATGACCATGTAGGGTGTCGGTGCTGCATGTGAAGGCAGAGAGAAAAATCTGTTACACCACGGCGCTGGCCCCACTTTATTCTTTTGAGATGAGTGTAAATCCTTCTGAAAGCTATACAAGTCTCTTGTAAATCTTTCAAACTAGGAATGCTTTTCTTCAAGGATCTTCTCTTTGAAATGTAAACATCAGGGAAAAAGCACTCCTATGTCTATGTCTTCTGGCAGGTTGACTTACCTATTTGGCTCCATGTTTACCTCTCTCCATATTTACTATGGAAATATCAGATGTTTTATTTTTCCTAACACAGATGGCCATCTCGATGACAAGGAAGTTTAGAATGGATTATTTGTCACAAATTGTACTTCCAACCCCTTTTATTTCAGAACAATTTGTCATTTTTCATGAGAACATATATGTGTCTGTCTATATCATGGGATGAGATTTCTTTCTGCTATAAAAATATCACTAATGATTTGGAACAACATGGAAAATTTGGGTGTGTCTTTAATATTTAAACCAGTTATAACTATGAACATTAAACCCTTTTAAGGGTTAATAAAACTGATATTAAACAGTAACCTCACCTTTGGCTCATTGACTAAACATCTACTTCCTTGCTCTTATAACCCACAGACATACCAAGCTACTCCTGGGCACTTTTGCCTGCTTCATTTTCCCTGTAGCTACCACCTTCTAACACATGATATGATTTACTTGGATTGTTTATTGTCTGTCTCCCCTCCTGAGGACCTGAGAGCAGGGATTAGGGTATATTATGGGTGGTCAGTGGGTATCATTTGAGAGATGAAATTAAGGACATATGGGCTCTCATGATGACATCTAATGGGTATCTTATGACGATTGGAACAACTGATGTAGCTCTCTGGAACTTTCCACACTTACTGTTTGAGTAGTTAGTTGTACTCTTAGTAGGTTCCTGATTTTGAATTTGCTGACTTTCCAGGTGTCAGAGTAAACCAGCCCTGTATATATCCAGGCCCCAGTACTATTGTTTCATTATAGACCACTTTAGGGCCGGTGGACATGAAGAACATGATGATGAGAAAAATGAATGTGAGCTGTCACCTACTCACCTGCTATCTGGACTACAAATTCTTTTTTCTGCACCAGTAAAGGGTTCTGAATGAAACAGGACACATTTCTATGAGCACCCCCTTTGACAACCACAGATGTTTCCAGACTGAACAGGCCCTGGGCATCCTGGTTGATGGCTTCGGACTTTGGAGACAGGCAGTTTCCCTGATGGTCTTTCCACTGAACCTTGGGCTTTGGGTACCAGCCATGGGAGCTGCACCTCAGCTGAATGCCTCCTTCCTTGAATACTTCCAGGGAGATGTGAGGGTCAGAGCCCAGCCCTGTGAGAGACAGGAGGAGTGGGAAAGATCAGACCCTTTTTACAAGTTGTGCAGAAAGTCTATTTCACCCTTTCCATGCACAGTCACTATGAGGGATCATGAACTGGGAGCTGCTCTTCACACAGGTATGGGCTCACAGCTCCCATTTATGAATGGCAGTCTAGATTACCAGTGCCATGTGGCTACGGTGCTACCTTAAGGGACGTTTGGAAATATGAAGGGGAATATTTTGTGAAAAGCTGTAGTCATTTAGACATAAAGGGGACAGTTTCCCTGGAATGAAAAATTGTCTCACCATAAATTCCAAGAGATTTTCCTTTCTTGATTTTCATTAAAGCCAAAATGCCTTTTATATGCACTCCATTGTTGCCTTGTACTGCTGGATTAGGTTTATATTTTGAATATGCAAAACATTAACATGGTTTAAAGATAAATGTTGTTATTATTAAATCTATATCAGAAAATCTCCAGGCCTTTTTGTATCCTTTGCGTCCTATTACCTTCTCATCCTTAGGTAATTCATTTCATTAATTTCTGTTTTATTCTTCCTATGTTTTACATTGAAATGGTTCTTCTCACTTACACACAAAAAATATATTTTTGAACTATTTTGCATTTTTTGTGTTTTTTAAAAGCATTTTTTAGTTATTTTAGAGAGTGAAGAGGAAAAAGAGATCCCACCCACTGGCTCACTCCCAAATTCCTGCAACATCTGCAGCTGGGCCAGACCAAAGTCAGGAGTTGGGAACTCAACTAGAACTTCCCAAGTATGTGGCAGGGATCCCAGCTTGAATCATCACCACTACCTTCTAGGGTCTGCATTGTCAGGAAGCTGGAGTCAGGTTTGGAGTCACCACTCCAACTCAGATACTCTGACAGAATGCAGGAATACCAATGGAGGTCTTAACTGATAGGCCAAATGCCTGATCCTTGATTTTTTTCTGTTAACAACACATCCTAGAAATTGTTCCACACTCATTCATAGAGTTTCTCCTCATTTTTTTCCAGCTTTAAAGTATGGGTCAATGCATTGTGTGGGTGGAAAATACTCATCTCTCATGTGTGAACAGTTAGATAGCTTCCATTATTTTGTAATTACAAATAATTCTACAAAGATTAAACTTACACATATGCCTTTTACATATTGTAAGTGTTGGGTATATATCTTTGTGGCAAATTCCCAAAGATACGATTCCTGTGTCACTGATAGATGTGCAAGTGTTCATCTTTACTGTTGCCAAATCGTTCTTCCCTGGTGCTTTACATCTTTGAACTCCATTAACTAGACAGGAGGAGACCCATTTCCCAAAGCTGTACCAAAAGTATGTGGTGGAACTTTTGAATTTTTGCCAATCTGATAGGTAACATTTGCACTTGAAGTTGTGTTAATCCTTTTTATTATAAGTAAAAATGACCTTTTTTCTATGCTTAAGGGTCACTAATATATTTTTTGGTACACCGCTTATCTCTTTTATTAATTTGCTCAAGAATCTGGCCCTCTGTTTTAAATAATGCATGTGTGTGTGTGTGTGTGTGTGTGTGTATTTTAAAATTAGGGTTATTCTTCTTTTTCTGTGATCCTCTGTCATTCTCTATTCCTGAGTAAAGCAATTCTATCTAAACTGACCCCTTTTTCCTTTCTTCTCTGTGACTTGACTGGATCACATACCTGCTACCTCCAGTTCCCACACAGCTTCACCAGAGAAGTCACTGGAGAGGAAGCGACACCCATATGGACCCTCATCAGATGGGACGATGCTGTGGAGTTCCAGGACCATGCTGCCAACAGCAATGTCATCCTTCAGGAGTTTGGTCCTGTTATGGAATTGTGTCATCTGCTGGTGGTATAGTTCCTGTCCATGCTGATATAGGTGCACCACCTCTGAGGTCTGGCTCCGGAACCAGCGGATCTCCATGTGCTCTGCATCCAGGTATGGTGACAGGTGGCATGAGAACTCCACCTCTTCTCCAACAAGGGCCAGCATGGAATGGTCAGGGCCTAACACCTTAACCTCCTCTAGAATGAAAAGCAAGAGCAATGACCCAAATCATTCCTTCTTAAATTTAACTTTTAGTTACCTCAATTTGTAGGCCAGAATTCTACAATAAGTCATCCCAATGACTTCCTTGGAGAATCAGCCTGATTATTTTGAGCAAGCAACTGTCATGAAAAAAAATTCTAAACTTAAAAATATAACCAGCTATAGTAGGTAGTACAGTACTAGTTATTGGTTTGAACCAATTAGGTACAAAGTTTATTTTGATGACAATTTTGTAAATGTGATAAGAGCAATACTTCACCAAAAAAGGAAGTTTCAAAACAACATGTCCACAATAATTTTGAGTGAAAAAATACTTTACATGTGCAGAAAAAATATCTGAAATGAGAGGCACCAAATTGTAGATGGTAATTTCTGCTCAATGGACATAGATATTTTCTTATTTTTGCCTATCTGATTTTCCAGTTTTTACAGTAATGCATATATAAGAATTACATAAAAACAAAAAATATATATTCCATGGAGGCTCTCTGCTCTGAAGGTTTTTATGGCTAGAAACCAACCAAATCCTGTTGTTTAGAATTATCTATCAAGGTCTTTCCCTTGATCATTCTCTTCTTCATTGTTGTCTGTATGTGGCCATTCTTTTACCTCAAAAGTAGTCTGCTTCCTGCCTGTCAAGCTCAGCTAAAACCCCTTTATCAAAGTTCAATCTTTGTGAATCTCTTCCCATCCTTAACTTTTCCCATAGAACATGGAGTTGGCTTTCTTAGTCCCACCTGGGCCTCTTGGTTGCCTGTTGGCATTCACTTTTCTACTGCCTGCCTTCTCCAGCTGTCTCCCCACACACCTGATTTCTAGCTGGCTGCCTGGGAACACCGTGCCTCATTACACCTTTCACCTGCATTTTCCTGGAGACTATGTATCCTGCTCAAATACTGGTACCTCTCCATAACTTTCATTGGTTTTCCAGGGAAAATGAGTTGCTTTTGGCTGTACTTATTTGTCTTTTTTAAAAAGATTTATTTCACTAAGTCAGTCCCCTCAAGACAAATATCATGTTTTCTCCAATTTATGATAGTACACAGAGTACAAAAATGTAATGTATATTAGGGAAATTGACATTTTTTGATTTGGTTATTGGGCATAGCCCTTGTCTATACTCTTGAGGAACAATGGTTTTTCCCATATACTACTTGTTGAATTCTTTATTTAGTGGAGAATTAAGCTTGAACTTATAAGCTAACTTGAAAGTATGTCATTGTAGAAATTAAAAGAAAAATAAGAAAAGAAGTAAAAGGTAGGAGGGAAGTTGGAGGGAGGGCAGGGTGGGAAAATCATTATGTTCTTAAAATTGTGTATATGAATGCATAAAGTTTGCTTCCTTTATATAAAAGGAAAGATTTATTTATTCATTTGAAAGACAGAGTAACAGAGAGAGAAGGAGAGACAAAGAAGATCTTCCATCCTAATAGTTCACTCCCCAAATGGCTGCAATGAATAGCTGACACAGAAGACAGCACCCCAGAATCTCATCCCATCTTGGTCTCCCTCGCAGGTGCCAAGGGTCAAAGCGCTTGGATCATCATCTGCTGCTTTCCAATGAGCATTAGAAGGAAGCTGGATCAGAAGTAGAGCAGCTGGGACTCAAACTGGTGCTCCAATATGGTATGTTGGTATTGTAAGCTATGGCTTAACCTGCTAAGCTACAAATCTTTGGACATGGTTCTTTTGCAGCTATTTATGTGACGTCTGTCCCCCTCCCTTTACCACAAACTGCTTAGGTTATCCTTGTCACCCATATTTCTTTTGTTCCTAGTCTAGAAATTGTGTTTGTATGATTAATTTATACTCTCTTTTATCTGCTTTTTTCACGAAAGATAGTGGGATGGAGTGAGGTCTTTCAAGTCCCTCAAAAACTACATGGAGATAAAAATGTTTCTCACTAGTTCAGCACAATCACAGACCATTAAGAGTCTCCTGGAAGATTACTGATGCCATAAACAGGAGTATCAATTTGTAAAGTCAACAACAGAAGCATTGATCACTGGAGAAACAGTGGAGGACCATTAAGGGACTAGATGGTGGCCAGAGGAAGTTACTCTTTAACAACTGTGTTGGAAATCTCTTTTTATTTTGACAGCTAGCAAGACTTATTGCCATGTTACAAGATCACAGGCCTGGGGAGGACTTCTTAGTAAGGGTGGAAAGAGTTGAGGTATTCACATCCAGGCTCAGGCTGGCTGGGCTACAGATGGCAGAAGAGCAGACATCCTACCTGAGTTCAGCTTCCCAGGCTGGAATAGGAGGAGAAGGTGGCTGAGGAAGAGACTGCTCGACAGAGGTGCTGTCAGTGAGAAATCCATGGAGACTGGGAAATCTGCCATCTCTTGTCATCAGAGGAGGCTACCTGGAGAATGACAAAGTGAGGCTGGAGTGACACAGGGGAGCTGGAATATGTCCCAGTGGACCTTAGGTCTGTTATTGTCTCGGTCATTTTTTGGTCTGGTTCTCAAATTCCTAAGCAGCATCACACCTGCATTCTTTCAAATTATGGCAGGATATGACAGCTGCTTCTAATTTTATGGTGCTGTTGATAGCATCATTGGCATTGCTCTAAGTCACAAAGCTGTAGAGGGCCAGGACTTAGGGATCCCAGGGGAAACAGCCTCTGAGCTGCATATTGTTTTGAGACAGGAATAGAGCCATACATTGTATGGGGGCTCAGCACCACCCTCCTCTGGAATTTCAGATGTATTTTTATTCTCCTGGTAGCTCAGCCACCTGCCCAACATTGCTCTTATTTCCTTTGTCCCTGGAACATCAGGTCCACAAAACAGAGGAAAAAAACACAGCCCTGTTTTTTTCAGAAGTTGAGAGTTCCTGCTAACTCCAATGACATTCTGGGTCTCTTCCCTTCAGTTTTAAGACTTCTGGGGTTGCTAAGACCTCACATGTCACCCACAGTTGTTGGCTGATCACTATCCCTGCATCTATAGTATCTTCGAGGCCTCAGTGATGGAGTCATGCTTTCTATCTATCCTTCAAAGGCACTAATCACAGCCTAGACAATGCCCATCCTTATCTCACAGTCCAATATTAGGCCATTAAGTGTGGTGTGGGCAACACATATTTGAATTAAGACAAGATTCTCCATCTAGTTGTGAGGTTTTAGTCAGATTTTGTAACTGACAGAGCTTTGATCTCTTCTGGACGGTAGAAAAAAAATCAATGCCACTCCACCATGAGCTCATGGGGTGTTCGTTAAATAGAAATCAGAACTTCCTTGTCCCTCCATCTTCCAAATATCACTCCATATTTTTCCAGAAACTACTTCTTCCTTCTTTCCCTCCTTAGAAAACCCCAGGTTGGGGGGAAAGTCCACCATGGGCCTTTACTCTCTAGCCCTTTCCATGTCCTCGTCTCCTGCCTTTGCCCTCTGCATCCCCATTTTTGGTCTTCTTTCTGTGGCCCTTGGCATGGCAATTGCTCCTGGTGACCTGCAGCTACTGAATCCCACCTTAGGGTCAGCACTACCAGCAGCATGATGTAGATGATAGACATTAAAAGCTGTGCTGGCTCACACCACAGAAGACGAGTCATGGGGTGAAAGGAATTAATGGAGAGGATCTTAAGTGATCCAGAGCCAGGAAGGGCTTGAGCTGATGGGAATACAATGAAAGGAAAAGGGAATGGTCTAAGAAGTGAGTGGATAGATAGTGGTTGCCACTCTTGGAGCCCAAACTCAGGAGGCAGCAGAGAAAGTTGGGGAAACTCTATTCATACTTCAGAAAGGGCCTCAGAGGAAGGAGGTCAGAGTTCCCTCTGGATGGTGCCTAGCCATTTTGATGACTAGCAGTTGCTTTAACTATTGTCCATGCAATAATTAGTATGGGCGGGGACCTTGAGAAGTGGTCGTTGCTATGAGTGGACTACCTGGCCTCTCACTCTCTGTGACAAAAGTTGGAATCTATCTGTGGCAGGCCAGAAATTCAGCAGCAAAAGGCTCTTCAGCAGAAAGCCCACATTGCTTTTGGTTTTCTTACTCTCCTCCCTTCTCTTCTCTTTTGTGCCCTTGTCTTTTTTTCCTGAACCTCCAGTAGAGGTTAGAGCCCCATAATGGCAGAGTCACGAGGAGTGAATCAGAATCCAGGTAGCACCTTCCAATACACAAAGGAATCAGACTGTGTTTGGTTAGGCTAGATTCCGAGGTGTTGGTCAACATATGGTAGCTGATAACCTGGATTCTCTCATGAGACAGTGATGACCATTAGAAAGGCTATACAGGGGCAGTTTGGTCCCACAACAGGAGCCCTTACTCCTCCCTAGACTGGAGGAAATTGTCATTTTTCAGGGGGCAGAATATTAGAGCTTTGTGTACAGAACCATGGAATTGCTAGAGGGATAATAGTTTTCTATAGTGATGCCTGTGCCTGAAGCTGCCAGGGAGTGTGTTGTAAACACACACACACACACACAGAATATTTGCCTAAAGTAATAAAAACTGACAAGAACTTGAAACTTACTATCTGCCAAGCACTTACTTTACCACTGTATCATTACTAATTGGTCCAAATTACTGATAAGGAAACTGAAGAACAGAAGGCTAAGAACTTGTCTTTGCACATACAGCTGTTAGGTGGTACAGTGAAGTTCCAGCTATGCTGTCTGGTTCTGTGCCTCTATGGATAAAGACTCATCCCCAACCAGAACATGTGTTTGGTCTGGGTTCACCCATTAGTCACTCCTGTTATCCCAACTCATGAACACTATCAGGAAATTCCTGGCCACAGACTGTAGCACTCACCCTTACATTGACACACCATCTCACATATGCACAAAACAGAAGGCTGGATCACAATGTATCAACTACAAAACAAACAAATAAATACAAATGACAAAGTCCCACTGCCAGGTAAAACAACTTAACCCAGAGTTAGCAGCTTTTCATATGGATGGTGCATATGCTCAAGTGCTCAAGGACACAGCCTTGAAAACCTTTCATCACAGAGAGGTAGTCTGGCAATATCCTGAAGGGTAAAGTCTGTGACTTCAGAGGGGTGAACACCTTTTCATGCCCTGAACAGCACCCTGCTCCCATTTGTTGCCAGAAGCACACCCTTTCCAACCTCAATGTTCTGTTTATTCAGCTCCATTTCTTATGGAATTGCAAGTACCCATTACAGGAAACACTTTCCTATTTCAGCTCTTCATATCACAGTTGAAATGGATTTCAGATTCTGTTTCCAGGGAGGGGGTATTCCTAGGGGAAGGAATGAAAAGGCTGGACATGTTAGGTATTTGGGGAAGATGGAGAACCCAGAAAAGGACTTTCAGGCCAAAGTTCAGGTTTGTCAGAGGAGTGCATTCTCTGCTTTCCCTGGGGTCCCAGGGAGGAATGAGGGGTCATGATGCCGGGGAAATGCCATGCTCTCCCTTGCAGGAAACACATTCCTACCTCTCCCTCCTAATTTTACTCCTCCCCTTCCCTTCTGATTCTCCCCTGCCCCCAGCCCTTGTTCTCTCCTTCTACATCTCCAATTCTTGAACAAAGCTTGATTTCTTTTGATTTCTGCCCCTCAGCCCTTGCATCTGACTTAATTATATTTTGCTTCTGCTACCTTTGTAAGCTCAGGATATTTATTTTACTCTTTTCTAATTCCTCAGATCCTAATCTATGAGTCCCAAGAGGCAAATAGGGCTTTTGACTGCCTTCACCCTCTCTCTTTCCAACTCAGACTGCAATGCTGACCTTAGAAGTCAGTTATCGCTGACTTCTAAACCAGCCAGGACTGGTTTGATTTCAATTTGCCCAAGAGAAAATTTCAACCCCTAATCTCTAATGGAGATAGACAACCCCACGAAGAAAGGCTTACTGAGGCTTGAAATACTTTTAATTTGAGTGGGAAATGAAATAAATTAGAAATCTACTTCCTCAGGTGGGACTTATCTGAAGAGTTAAATCTTTTGGGCTGTACTTCAAACACCAAATTCCACAGCCAAGCTCATGAAGCTGATAAAATATTGCCACCCATAGCATGCTTTCCTCAACGGCTCTCATTGTTATAATTAATTTCTGCTTCCTGTTTCTGAAAGGTAAAGGTTTAGACAGGAATTAAGAATGATTCACATACCTGGGCAGGTAGCAGCAACAGGTCCAGATGGATGGGTGAGTCCTACAGATCTCTGAAAAGGGTGATGATTCTTGCAAAGTGTTTTGGTTCCAGATGCTATGATATTCTAGACATGACTGGCAGCTGAATCCAGGGTTTTCACCTTGTTTGTTATGGAACTATTCATTTACTTTCTTCTAAGACTCATACTATTTGCTCTGCCCTTTGCTATATAAACCGAGATGGATAGAACAAAACGAGGAAGTTCCCGTCACATCCTGTCTCTGTGAATTGAATTCCCATGGAAAATGTCTCTCCAGGGTCTTTGAAGAAGGGGAAAGGTATTTGAGAATTTTGTAGACTGCAAGCTGCAGAGAAACAGAGCAAGGGTAGTACTCACCGGCTGCCAGAATTTCAAGGAATGCTGAGCAGGAGGTTCATGAAAGCAAAGTGAGCATTCCCCTTCCTCTCATTGACAGAAACTGGATTGCAATATCCACCAAGGGTTAGAAAGGAGTTTTTAACAATTTTTAACCCTCTATACCCTTCTTTGTAGGTCTGCAGGAATGATAACCTGCAAGTATTGCCATGAGTAAAATCTGTAAGGCCTGTTCATATACAGGGAGGTCTTGTACTGGGATTTCTATAGTGCATTGGAGTAAAGGAGCAATCAGTATCATGCTCTATATAATGTTGCCATAAGCCCTGGTGCCATTTTGGAATTTGTGGAAATGTGCAAGAGACCAATCCTCCAGCCATCTGGCTGCATTGGGCACTGGCATCCTCCTTAGGGGATATGTCAGAGCTATGACACAGGGTAGTCAAGCACATGCACGACACTCCAGTGGCTCCTAGAAATGCCTGATTTTTAGAGAAAGGTGCCATGATCCACGTGTCTAGCTAAAGGAAAGAAACTGTGAGTTGCATCTTGCAGCAGGGCCTGCTCTCTGCCATATTAAACACCTCACTTTATTGTCTTCTGTCTGCTGTCACATAAGACCAATGGGGTTTAGCAGGGAGGGCTTTTCTATAGTAGTATGGGTTTGGGGCTTTGGAAAAAGAAGAAATGTGGGTTTTGGCTAATCCCTGGAGTAAGGACAGTCTATTCAATAAATGGTGCTGGGAAAACTGGATTTCCACGTACGGAAGCATAAAGCAAGACCCCTACCGTTCAAATTACACAAAAATCCACTCAACATGGATTAAAGATCTAAATCTATGATCTGACACCATCAAATTATTAGAGAACATTGGAGAAACCCTGAAAAATATAGGTACCAACAAAGACTACTTGGAAAAGACCCCAGAAGCACAGGCATTCAAAGCCAAAATTAAAATTTGGGGTTGAATCAAAAAGAAAAGTTTGTGCATTGCAAAAAAACAGCCAGGAAAGTGAAGAGGCAACCGACAGAATGGGAAAAAATATTTGCAAACTATGCAAAAGATAAAGGGTTAATAACCAGAATCTACAAAGACAAGAAACTCCACAACATCAAAACCAACAACCCACTTAAGAGATGGGCCAAGGACCTCAATAGACATTTTTCAAAAGAGGAAATCCAAATGGCCAACAGACACATGAAAAAATGTTCAAGATCACTAGCAATCAGGGAAATGCAAATCAAAAGCACAATGAGGTTTCACCTCACCCCGGTTAGAATGGCTCACATACAGAAATCTACCAACAACAGATGCTGGTGAGGATGTGGGGAAAAAGGGACACTAACCCACTGTTGGTGGGAATGCAAACTGGTCAAGCCATTATGGAAGTCAGTCTGGAGATTCCTCAGAAACCTGAATATAACCCTACCATACAGCCCAGCCATACCACTCACTGGAATTTACTCAAAGAAAATTAAATTGGCAAACAAACAAGCTGTCTGCACATTAAAGTTTATTGCAGCTCAATTCACAATAGCTAAGACCTGGAATCAACCTAAATGCCCATCAACAGTAGACTGGATAAAGAAATTATGGGACATGTACTCTATAGAATACTATACAGCAGAAAAAACAATGAAATCTGTCACTTGCTACAAAATGGAGGAATCTGGAACACATCATGCTGAGTGAAATAAACCAGTCCCAAAGGGATAAATATCATATGTTCTCCCTGACTGGTGACAAATGACAGAGCATAAAAAAGGAAATCTGTTGAAATGAAATGGACGCCATGAGAAAAAGTGACTTGATTGGCCCTTGTCCTGACTGCTGATGTACAACTCAATACTTCATCCCTTTTAGTATTTTTTTACTCTACTGAATACTATTGGTTGAACTCTGTAATTAACACACAATTATACTTAGGTGGTTAAATTTAACTGAAAAGTGATCTCTGTTAAATATAAGAGTGGGAATAAGAGAGGGAAGAGATGTGCAATTCGGAACATGCTCAAGCTGACTTGCCCCAAATGGTAGAGATAGAAATGTGCCAGGGGATTCCAATTCAATCCCATCAAGATGGCATGTACCAATCCCATCTCACTATTCCAAGTGATCAATTTCAGTTCACAATTGATCATATTGATAGGACAAATACTCAAAGGGATCACACAAACAAGACTAGTGTTTGCTAATATTAACTGATAGAATAAAAAAGGGAGAGAACAATCCAACATGGGAAGCAGGAGGCACAGCAGACTCATAGAATGGCAGATGTCCTAAACAGCACTCTGGCTTCAGAATCAGCCCTTAATGCATTTGGATCTGACTGAAAAGCCCATGAGAGTATTTCAGGCATGGAAAGCCAAGACACTCTGGCAAAAAAAAAAAAAAAAACCAACCAAACAAACAAAAAACAAAACAACTAAATGAAAGATCTGTGATTAACACACAATTATTCTTAGGTGTTTAAATTTTAACTGAAAAGTGATCCCTGTTAAATATAACAGTGGGAATAAGAGAGGGAGGAGATGTACAATTTGAGACATACTCCATCGGACTTGCCCCAAATAGTGGAATTAGAACCTTGCCAGGGGATCCCAATACAATCCCATCAAGGTAGCATGTACCAATGCCATCTCACTAGTCCAAGTGATCAATTTCAGTTCACAATTGATCACACTGATCTGTCTAAGAGTCAAAGGGATCACACAAACAAGACTAGTGTCTGAAAATAGTAACCAATAGAATAAAAAAGGGAGAGAATGATCCATCATGGGAAGCGGGATACACAGCAGACTCATAGAATGGCAGATGTCCTAAACAGCACTCTGGCCTCTGAATCAGCCCTTAAAACATTGGGATCTGGCTGAAGAGCCCATTAGAGTATTTCAGGCATGGAAAACCAAGACAACCTGGAAAAAAAAAGTAGACCTAAATGAAAGATCTCTGCAAATGAGATCCCAGTTGAAAGAACGGGGCCTCCAAGAAGGAGGTACCTTTCTCTGAAGGGAGGAGAGAACTCCCACTTTGACTATGACCCTGCCAGAATAAGATCAAAGCTGGCGACTCAAAAGCCTTCCATAGCCTTGGCAATTCATGACTAGAGCCTAGGGAGATTACTGACCCCATAAACAAGAGTGTCAATTTGCTAAGTCAACAACAGGAGTCACTGTGCACTTACTCCTCATGTAGGATCTCTGTCCTTAATGTGTTGTCTAATGTGAATTAATGCTATAACTAGTACTCAACAGTATTTTACACTTTATATTCTGTGTGGGTGCAAACTGTTGAAATCTTTACTTAATATATACTAAATCGGAACCGCAGGAGCCGCAGAGTCTGCCCGCCAGCGTGGGAAGGGGAGTGGATGTGACACAGACACCAGTGCAGAGAGGAGGGACGCCCAGGGCTCTGAGTCCAAACATCAGCGCTGGAAGGGGAGGTGAGCTCAGTAACCGGAGACATTGGCGGGGAAACGGCAGACAGAATTTTAGAGGGAAGCGGGCTTTGAAGTGGGAAAGTTCACCAGACTGACTACAGGATAGAAGGAAAAAAAAAGGTGGGGGGTATTGGTACAGACAAGTTTCTCTCTCTGCCAACCTTGCAAAGGTGAGCAAGAGACAAAGAGCAAGACCCACTTGGGATATACATAATAAAAGGGGAGAGTTAAGGCTACAGTTCAGTAGCCTAGGCAACCCAGTAGGAGTCCGCAGGAGAAACCGAGCCTTCACAGACTCTTTGGGTAGAAGCCAGAGATCGGAAGCTAAATACCATCAATTCTGTTCAGCCTTGCAGTATTACTTACCTCCTGAATGAAAAATAAAATAAAATAAAATAAATGAATAAATAAAGAAAGAAAGATTTACCACGCATAACCTGAGGGTGTCACCTTTGCACACCCATAACCCTGAAGAACCAAGCAGAGCTCTCAGGCCACACACATCTCAAGCCTCCAAGGCTCCTGCAACAGCAGGCAGTCCACTTAACACAGACATTCTATTAAAAAAAACACCTCACAGTGAGGGAAAAAGAATTAACCATGCCAAGCAATAAACACAGAAATCGAGGTAGCAAGATCAGTGATGACACTATGATGCCTCCAGATAAACAAAACAACCCAAGCCAAGATTATGAAGATGATGAATAGAAGAAATGCGAGATATGGATTTCAAAAAATTTATGATAAGAACATTTAGAAGTTTTCAAAAGCAAATCATTGAACTACAGAAATCCTTATTGGACAGGATTGAAAATCTCTCTCTTGAAAATGAAATTTTAAGGAAGAATCCAAATGAAATGCAGAAACTAGTAGAACAGGAAAGTGTGATAGTGAAGAGAAATCAAAATGAAATGAAGAGCTCAATAGATCAAATGACAAACACATTAGAGAGCCAATAGAATACAACAACACATCAGGAAAATCATCCACCCAGACCAAGTGGGATTTATCCCTGGTATGCAAATCAATCAATGTGATTCACCACATTAACAGACTGCAGAAGAAAAACCATATGATTATCTCAATAGATGCAGAGAAAGTATTCGATAAAATTCAACACCCTTTCATGATGAAAACTCTAAGCAAATTGGGTATAGAAATAAGATTCCTCAATACAATCAAAGCAATTTATGAAAAATCCACGGCCGGCATCCTATTGAATGGGGAAAAGTTGGAAGCATTTCCACTGAGATCTGGCACCAACAGGGATGCCAACTCTCACCACTGCTATTTAACATAGTTCTGGAAGTTTTAGCCAGAACCATCAGACAAGAAAAAGAAATTAAAGGGATACAAATTGAGAAGGAAGAAGTCAAACTATCCCTCTTTGAAATGATATGAATTTTTTTTATTTTTTTAACTTTTATTTAATGAATATAAATTTCCAAAGTACAGAATATTGGTTACAATGGCTTCCCCACCATAACGTCCCTCCAACCCGCAACCCTCCCCTTATCCACTCCCTCTCCCCTTCCATTCATATCAAGATTCATTTTT